GAGGCAAGCTTACGAACTATGCCATAATCATTCTTTGAAAACACCATGTCAGTAGTTGCATTAGTCAAAAATGCCTTAGCTTCCTCTACAACAGTGCAAAGAACAGAGCCAATCTTCATATCATCTCTTTGCCAGTCTAATTTTCATAAATTTTTCACTTTATTAACTTTTTCGCAGAATTCAGGCCACTTGTTCTTTAGCTTGACATAAAGAGCTCTTCTTGGACCTTTAGTTTTCTCACCAGTAAGAGCAGCCATATAGTGAGATACATGTATTTCATGTATGTGTCTCCTACACATTATCCACAACATTCAAAATATCTTTAAGAATTCGGACTGGTCCATTGACTCCGCCTGTATTGTTTGCAGTTGTATCACAGCATATACCAATGATCTGCTCTTTACATCCATAATATTCTAAAAGATTGTGCACTTGTTTTGCTTGGTCAACTCTTTTTAAAGAGGAATAACGCCTAAAAGATGGTCTTCTATAGTATCATCATCCGGGAAGCTCACTGTGACTGCAAGTCGCTCAATTTTTTGAGTCCAGTTCAAATTTGTTCCAACAGTTTGGTATCAAAATAAAGAATAAGCCGTCGGCCTTTAAAATGATTTGTTATTGAAATCCACTCCAAGTCTCCTTCAAGTTTTATATATTTGAACTTTTTTCTATGAAGTATGTTTCGTGAAAGCGGTATATCATTAATTGAACCTTGTTGCTGGAATAGCAGTACATTCAATAAGCTTTTTAACATTCACAGCTAGATTTATCTCCAGAATTCTACCTAGGTATCCCTTTATGATATTTTTCTACCTACTTATAGCTATACTTTTCAATAAAACAGCTTTAGTTTGTGAAAATTACAACTATGTCATTTAAATAGTACTATGCCTGCGTTTAAATCTTCTTCCTCGCTTTCAGAGTTCTTTCGACTCGATTTCAGAGTCCTTGTTTGACTTTTCTTAGACTTTTTCATGGATTCATGTGACAACAAAACATCATTAATATCTTTTAAGTTTTTTCTGTCTCTCTAACTCTTTATCTCTCAACTTATCTAGCTTGTTCTTTCTCCTATTTGCATCCAGTCATCTCCTACTGTAGTCTCCATCGACTTTTGTTCCCATATATCCTTTCCTATCCAACTTCTGGTCTTCATAAAAACTAAAAAATACTTAAATCTGTTAAGATATTTGCAAATAAACAAATTATTGTTTTAGTTTTTCTAGGAAGATGACCAAACTATGGAAAAAGTTAAACTATGGTTTAAGAGTTGAAAGAAATAATATGCTATTACTTAAGTTACTTTAAATTGGAAAGAAAATCTCACTACTCAAAAAAGTGTTATTTAATGAACTTACTTTATATCTTCAAGCTTGGCATCATTTGTTCTCAATCTATCAGCAAGAATATATTTTTGAAAATTCATAGTCGAAATGTTAAAAAGCTGATAGGATTCTGTGAGAAAACCTTTCTCTAACTTTAATTGTTTATCAAGACTGGTGTTCAGTTTAGAGAAGAAAATTTAATCAATTTCTTGCAATTTAAATTAAGTTTAATGATTTTGGTCTTTATATTGTACCCAGAAATCACAAATTTATTGCAAAACCCAGCATTACCCCAAATTTTTTTAATCCAGGTTACCAAGCAAGAATTAACAGAATCTCTACAAACACCATTTTCACAAACAAGATCCTTGGATTTCGATTTCAATTTGCAACCAACATTAGTAGAAGTGGGTTTGTATTTAACCTGTAACTCGCGAAAGATAAATTGATAGTATCTTAGAATATCACCATTAGATGTAAGCTGTCTCTGATGTAAATCCCTCAGTGGGTATTTCAATAAGTAAATATACCTCAGCCTTTTTGTATTTTTGCGTTTTTTCTTATTCTGTCCCATTATCATCCTTTTTTTGACTTTTTCTAGCGATTTTTTATATGAGTTTTGAAATAATTAGTTTTTTAACTAGATTTATACTATATTCTACACTTGTATCAAAAATCTATGAAATCGTTATTTCCTCTCGTATCATATTTTATCTAAGTTTACCGTTACGGCTTTTATAACCGTTTAAACGAGAATTTCATAGTGCATGCATTATTTTTTTATTTCTATTTTTAATTTTTTTTAATTTTTATTTTATTGCTGTTTAGGTGCCCCATAAAGATGAAGACTTTACAATCTTGTCACAGAGCACCGCGAAAGTGCATTAAACCAGGACATTCACGCCTCCTTCCTTACCGCGACGCGAAAATATGTTCAAGGCTCGTTTCGAACCCGTATCTCCTGCTTATAAAACAAGCGCTCTAACCACTGCACCACGGCTGCAAAATCTCCTTCGTGCACAATTAATTCCATTTGGCAATTTTTTCCTTCAAAAAAATTTTTAAATGGAATTATTTGTGAACCTATCCATTAGGAATTATACCAACTGATAATATTATCCAGAAAGAATTATATCAGTCGCTAACTATGTTCATAGGGAATGATGCCAATCTTTAATAATTTCCTACGAATTATTTGTGTACTAATTATTACATCATATTAAAACATATTGAAATACTAGATAGCACTGTTTTTATGTAAATACACGTAAGTGTACAAAACCGTAAAACTCAGAATATCTATTTATCTATCACTTCTAGTCATTAAAAAATTAAAAAAAAAGATTTTGGTAGTTATTTAGAACCTATAGAATTAGAATCTGTTAAGAACACATTGAAAAAAATTTTTTAAAAAGTATTTTTTTGGGACACCCTAAAACTCATTCATTTGCATGAGTTTAAAAGAAAGTGCGTTATTACTGTAAGTAGAGAGAAAGCTTACAATACAATTACCAAAAATTTAAAAAAACAGTCTCTAACATTCCCTTACTCCTTGTACAAGTTCGTACGTTTTTGGTTATCCCCACCCCCCTTTCTCCCAATACCTAAGTAAGTACTTTATGGAAGGCATCTTAGGGATTAAAACATTTTTCATTTTAAAATAAGTATTTAATTTTTATAGCCTGCTATAACCTGAATATGATAAATACCAGATACTAAATTATTACATAAATAAATCAAGCGTAGAAGGTTTTGCAATAACCCTTGTTAAGAGTTTTTGTGGATAGTGGTTATGTAAAACTTTATATAGCAATTTGCTTTTTTAAAATTAGCTACAAAATCATATTGATAAACTAGACTGTAAGGTTTTAAATACTTATGCTACATTTCAGTGGTAGATTAAGGATGGAAAAGGGAATATAGTCCAAGGCCCCGATTCATAATAAATGATTTTTTAAAAAGAAACTCTGATAATTAAATCTTTTATTAATGACGCCGAAGAAGACTTGTTTCTTTAAATTTTCCTGGTTTAAAATTGCCGGGAAAAGTCTTATATACTGATACTATACCAATACTGTTACATGCACGCATAAATATGTATGTATATATATTTGATTTAAAAAGAAAAGTATCGTTTATAAAACACAAATTTTTAGTTAAGGGTTTTTAAATTTTATGTGACGAAAAGAACGATGGGTCCTAATATTTTTAATATAATTTAAAAGCCTTTGTAAAAAGTACTTTTCAATCGTGTCCACTATTTTTAAGAGATCGCTTTACACTAGAATGCATGCATACATGCATATTTATGTGTGTGTGTGTGTGTATATATATATATATATATATATATATATATATATATATATATATATATATATATATATATATATATATATATATATATATATATATATATATATATATATATATATTTATATATATAGGGGAAGTTGGGGTACAGTGGATTAAGGGGCACAGTGAATAAAAAATCATTTTATGTGCTCATATATCAGCCATCTTTATTTATAGTTGTTACCACAAAATATTTTACTACCGATTTTTAATAGGTAATTTTTGTTTTTAGCTAACTAAAGTAAATTTTCTTACCCTCCTTATGTTTTTTATCGAGATCATGGTTGATATAATTTTAAAAGTTGAGGTTTTTTATTCGGATTATTGATATTTATGCTTTCTTTTAGTAGTTTAGCTTTTTTTTTAACAACACTTATGTTCCAAGAAATTAGACTTTAACTTAGTTTGTCTCAAATCAGGATACAATGAATAGATTCACTATGCCCAATTAATGATCCTAGAGATCAAAATCATGCATTTTTAACAAACAAACTACATGGAGATGAATTTATTAGTTTTATGTTTTGAATAATAATGTTTGAATGATTTTTTAACTTTTCAATACTTTTCTTTCTTAATTTTTAAAATGAGTTTTTTTTCGAATTGATATTAATCTAATTATAAGCCTTTCTGTGAGCCGTGACATAATAAATATTTGGATTTTAGTTGATTTATTATCATAAAGGACATGTATCTTAATCCTTTTGCATTGAAAAAAATAAAACACATATTTTAACTTTTGCTTAATTTAAAAAATAAAGTAACCCCATCCACTGTGCCCCAACTTTCCGAACATACACGTATGTATGTATGTATGTATGTATGTATGTATGTATGTATGTATGTATGTATGTATGTATATATATATATATATATATATATATATGCATATACACATACATAAAGTTACATGATCGTGAGGTTAGAATTATCTCGTACATCTCCACTTTTTAAAAAACTTAAGTTATTGATTGTTATGTACCTCAGAATATTTTTCTACTGTATTAAAAAAGTTATATGTGAAAAGGTTGTGAAAATAAAAGTATTAAAATCTTTTTATAAGTGGTGCCCTAAATTTTTAATTAAATTAAGTTGTTTATATCAAAACTCAAATATATATATACATATATATATACATATATATATAAATACATATATATATATATATATATATATATATATATATATATATATATATATATATATATATATATATATATATATATATATATATATATATATATATATATATATACACACACATATATATGAGGCAGAAATTTAAATTCAAAAAACTTTATAGTAATCAAAGCTTCCACAAAATTAAATGTTTAATTGATATTTACAAAAAATAAAGCATTTTATAAATGAGGTTTATTAATAGAATTTATTTATAGAAATATAGCTTTCTTAAATATCTTAACGCTAATGTTCTTAGCTGGAACATTTTTTAAACATCTCACCAATAACTTATTCAGAAATTAAAACACGCAAGTAAATAGACGCGATATAATCTATGCATATAGGTGGCAAATAATTTATGCATATTAGCCACAATAACTTGAAAAATATATTAGTCACTTTCTATCTACAAGCAAAACTCATGAGATGTTCATGCTCAAGGATAACTTGATGTTCGAAGCGCACCAGAAGAGTAACATATTTATGTTACTCAAATTATTCCAACACAATTAGAGTAAATGCGTTTATCTAGTTTCAATTGCCTGAAGCGTTGGTAAAGTACGTTCAGAGTAAGAACATACTTGAGGTAAATCTCTATTTGAGTTCGTTACTAAAGATGAAGATTTTGAAGTAGGCGGCGTCGAGTGCCTTTCGTCTTTTATATTTTCATCTATTAGTATTGTATTGTTATTATTTACATGATTGTCTGATGATAGTGTAGTTATATTAGCTAAGCCGTGTAAATGTTCCTTAGAAAAGCTTTCATCACTTTTGTCTTGGTTATCATCGGAGTCTGAATCACGCTGATCCTTTTCCGGAACTTCTGTAGCTTCGCCGTCGGCTCCGATAATAAATCGTATACACTTTTTCTTTCTCCTGTAAAGAATAAGCGTTTTTTTATAAACCCAATTTTACGTACAAAAAAATTATGCGTAATAAAATTATAATCTACATATTAATTATAAGCAAAATCAAATAATGGAACTTCAAACCTTTTTTTTTAAATTTTCTTTATCACATATTCGGATAAAATCATTTAACATATAATAAAATTTTTTTAAAAACCAATTTATCAGATTATATACTATTTAACTATTATATAACTATTGATTAATATTATCATTATTGGTTATTACCTACACGGCTTACACCATTGTTCTTGTCGATCTAATCCATAACGTGCACGACATTTTTTTGGATTCATTTCTGAAAAAGAGGAAATTAATGTTAAGAGTTAAGTTACTCGTAAAAGACTAGTCAAATTTATAATCGCTAAGATCACGATTGCAAAGTGACGTTAATAAAAAGCATAACTATTAAATTTTAATTTAGATAAATCTGAGCATCGCTAGTACAGCTTTTATTATTAAAACTTTTTACTTAATATATATAGAGAGATAAAAAAGCAATTTTTCATAATTTGAGAAAAAATGTTTGCTTTACAACTTGCTTTTATTTTTTGATGGGCACTCATGCCTAATAAAAATATCGAACTTAAAAAAAAGATTAAAGAAAAAAAAAATTATTATTTAATCAGATTGTTGTTTGTAAATAAATAAAAAAAAACAAACCTTCATTTTTATCTCTTGGGCGTTTTTTTTTCCTTCCTATTTGAGCGTAATTGTCTCGAGCACTCCAACCCGGGTATAACTGCATATGAATGGCGCGTTCCTTGCGTGCCATTTCATAGTATTTAGCTTGCTCGGTCTTCTCTAAAGCATGCCACTAAAAAATATTAAAGAAAATTTAAAACCAAAACTTCATTTATATAAATCAATTTAAAAAATATTTCTATTTAAAAACACATATAAAAAAAAAAAAAAAATACAATTAATAATAATAAGTTTTCATACTCGCTTTCCAAGTATTTGGTTTATAGCTGCACTTTCTTTCAATGTAAATTCTGCAGCAATTTTTGGTCTTTGTTCCTTCATATAAAGCATAAATGCATTTAATGGTTTTTTAACATGTGGTCTTTTCATTTCTTTTGTAGATCTTCCAGCCATGACAGGATAACTTTGTATACAAAAAAGAAATTTTATTCTTCTTTAATATATAATTATTTCAATATATATGCAGTATCATTTATATATCATTTTATATTATTCATTGCTTTATAACATAACATGCCATAATTATTTATTACAAAAATCATCGCTTTTATGAGTAGTATTACATCTTATTGTAATTTTAGAACATCAAGAATTGTTCAAAAATTACATTAAGCCTGAACCTTACACCTAGTTATGAAAATAAATCTACTGAAAATTATTAGATCAACATGACAATTCCTATTACATATACTTTTAAAATGTTTTGTGTTTTACAAAAACATAAAAACTGTAAAAAGTATGCAGGCTCATCAAACTTCTCTAAAGTGCTAAAATATGATGACAACAGAACTGGGGTAAAAGGCTTTACCAGACCTCTTAGCAAAAAAAGTAATAATATATTCAGTACACAAATCAAGTTTAAGTGATTAAAATGCTTTTTTTTAAAAATAAAAGAAATTTTAAAAATAATTTTGGAGAAAAGTCTGAAAATCAATTTTGCTGCTGCTCATTTGTATAAGCTGATTAATTTCCATGTTTCAACACAGAAGCTACATAGCCAAAATTTTAGTTGAATACCTATTTTAAGGCATCACTAATATTCCTACCATTATTGCTCATAGATTATTTTTGTTATTTTATAATTATCTATACTGACAAGCTTAACCTTTTTTTATTTTTCATTTTTATGTTAATTCACCTCCCAGGGCCACTAAAACTGAGGAGGCTAATTTAGTTCTGGTTACAATCATCTCTTAACTCTATAACTCCAAAATACGAACCTGACAAACAAGGCGGCTGCACAGAGAAAAAAGTTAAGCATGGTACTACCAGGAACGTGGTTGAGATTGAACTCGGAACTTTTTGCTTATGAGTCAAGCGTTCTACCACTACACAACTACTGCAATCTTATTATTTAGCTTGTATTTTCATTCATCTAACTCTTTTGCTTGACAGCACACATTAACAGCAGCTTTATAAATTTTGACCACAAGCCATTGTTGTAGCTTTTTAATATTTAATGGACTATTAAAAACAATAATTTTCAATTGTTGTCAGAAAAAAAGTAGAAGTTCAATTCTTTACAGAAACAAAGTAATGTGTTTCAATAAACTACATTGTCTGTTTTAAGTAGCCTCAATGGCGGGGTTTGTTTAAATATTTTTTTGCATTTCCATAATCAAAGATGTATTAAAAACTGCACAACTAAATTTAATTATTCTAAGTGAATATTAGCGAGTTTAAGCATACACACATTATCTCCAGGCAGTGTTAGTACAAACGCCAGCAAGTTTGCTACCACTGCAAATTCAAAAAATGTTAAGCATGAAAAACTTTCAACAAACTTGTTTTAAGTCATTAATTATTTATGATTTATTTTTAAGTTAAAAGTATTTCCAAAAACAACCTGTGCTATAAACAATCAAAGAGATCTCACTTGAGAAACTGCATCAAAGTTTACTTTAAATTTAAAGATGGAAGGATTAGGAGTTACAAGAGATGTTAACTTCAAAAATATTTTTAAAAAATTACTCAAAACAAAAGTATGAGTTTTAAACTCATTAATTATTCATGTATCGTACATTTTTGAGCAGTGGTAAAAAATAAGATTTCTAGAGTATATTTTGAACACAATGAATGCATTAGAAAAGATGTTTCCCTAAGACTTATCAATTATTTACAAGAAATTCTTCTGTATTCCTACCACTGTCTCAAAATAATGCTTACATGCTTAACCTTTGTGTGTTGTAGCAATATAAATAGTATTTAGGGAATAAAAAGGCTCATTAGAAAGTTTACAGAATGTTTTTCACTTTCATTTTTTGGTCCTAATTTCTATAAAAATTATCTGTATTTTTTAAAAATTGCATCTATTTATTGTCTTTAAAATCTAAGTTTGTCTCATTTTGAGAAAAACTAGTTTAAAAAAATAGAAACCCAATATATGCCAAAAGAGCTTTAATGAAACTAAAAAATTAACCAGCAAAACTTACCCAGAACTATAAAATGGTACATTTCCTGCCATACCAGGAGGGTATCGAAAATATTTTTGTTGCATAGCTCCATATGGCAAAGGATATTGAGGTGGTCCATCAGGCTGAGTAAGAGGCCTTAAAAAAAAAAAATTTTCATTATTTACCAACAAGGTAAAAAATTCAGTATAACTTTTTTTTTGTTTTTAATTTATGATCTTTATATTATACTAATGAAATTTATACCAAGAAGGATGATCATAATAAGGTCTTTCATCACGAGTATATAGTGGTGGACGAGTTGAAATAAATGGATTTGCATAAGGTTGACTGTTTGCAGTATTGCCATGACGATATGACTGGTGTTGTTCATAATATCTCTATAAAAAAAAAATGACATTAACTTAATATTAATCTTTTATTTCTATATTATCTAATATTTGTAAAATAGTTTTAGAGTACTTTTTTGAATTTACTAACATATTGCAGTATTTAGTAACATTTACTGTAAATGTAAATTTACTGCAACAGTAACTCTGCGCGGTTTATATAATATGAAGCATAAATTATGTACTATTTTTTGAGACAAAAGACAGTAACTCTTGCATTAAACTGTTTGTAAAGTTTAAAACGTTAAAACTTTTTTTAAGCTACTGTGTTTTGGTATTTCATGGAAGTATACTACCCATCAGCCTTTTTTATAAAAATGTTTATAAAATAAGTTTTTCAAAACCTGTTTCATAAAGTTCATTAATCAAAAACATATTTAACCAACTTAACAAGTCTTATCAGATAATCTTATTAACATCCTTAAAAATTAATTAAAATAAATAAAATTTCTAAAATGTAGATTTTAGATCAACTATTTTATTTACACAAGCCAAACTTTTTTCGTTGCGCAAGTAACCAATAGTTCTATAACCTTAATTACTTCTAGTAAACTATTGCCATCCATAAACAGTTACTAAGTTGGTGAATAATGACAAGTTGTTATGTTATCCCACATCTAGATTTAGTGTTATTTATTGTTATCTAGAAGTTAGTGTATCCCACGTCTAGATTTACATGTGCACCAATCTACTTCAGCAATATTTTTATGCAACACAACACTGATGCTTCATAGCATCTTTAATTATCACACCAACATACTTTAAAGCAACTCCTATTGCCATGCTACTTGCATCACACCACAATATTGTTGTCTGATGCAAGTCACAAATCTTTTCAGCATCTTTTACTCTCGTTTTTACACCATCACCAAACTCCATTCAGGACAGCATTTTGATCAACCACAACTGTGTTTGATCTATCCCAATTTTAGATCATCCCAAACTTATCTTTGACTATGACATTTTGTAAAGCTATGCACAATTCTAAGATTTCAACAAGAAAACGCCTTATCAAGTGCCAACATCAAGTGCCAACTTTTAAATATGTTGTGTTGCCAATAATGCTCTTTCTTTAAATTCCTAAACAGATGCAAATTAAATACTTGCCCAAGTTTGAAGACATGATATTTGGTGCAGAATTCAAACCAAAACTGAGACATAAAAAATGCTTCCACAAAACCTGATCAATACATATTTGCATGTAGGCACATCTGAGATCGAGCTTTGAAGATTTGAAACCAATTTTTCTCCATCTAATCAATGCTTTATTAAATATATGATTTAAAGCATTATGAAAATTAACATATTGTGTAAAATTATGAAAATCAAAAACAAACTATACCTTCACTTTTTTTTTTTTGTTGAACTAATTAAAATTAACTAGACAATTGAAACAATGTTTTTTTTATATTTTATACACAGTTTCAACCAACCATTTTCCACCCAAATGCTGTTACCGTTTTGTTGAAGAAACAAAACTTTTTCTGTATATATTTTCTACTATTTGAGGATAAAGATGATTTATTAATGTTTTATAGATTCCAGAGATTGTTGAAGCACATTCTTAATTATTTGCTTTTGCTATAAACACTTGCACAATTTAAAACATTCAACATAATTTAATCTAATTTTTACTTCAGCTCGTAACTTGATAAATCCACACTTGTTGCAATAACTCAACTTTGGCTAAAAGTTGATATTGAAGGCATAAGTTGATGCAAACTGGCCAGGTACACATTGTCAGACTCTTACTTTTTCTAATTACAAATCCCTAAAAAGCTCATAGGTTTCAGAACTATCTGCTGCATACGATTCAATATAGCTTTTTCGTTATCCACAGTGGAGGGTTTCTTGCTAAGCTGAATTGCTTGTATATAGCAAATGCACTAGCTTTGAGTAAGTGGCATAATCAAGGATAATAAGAATGTCCATCATTTGTTCTCTCCAACCAGTTTGATTCATTTCAAACATACTAAAACATCTCCATATCAATCTAAGTTTTTATTATTTATGCCATGGGTATCTTGCTTAAAAAACTTGTACATAAAACATATATTTCTCTTTTTAGACTCCATGTTTTACATCTTTTCATACAACTTATGCACATTTTCAAAATAAACAAAAATTCTCTAGAAAATAACTAAATATAAAAATTACAACTTCAACTTATAGACAACAAAAAATTATAACAATAAGCAGTTATAACAGGAATTCAGTTTTCATAATTTTTCCAGGAAGAAATTTAAACCTACACATCAGTTAAATTCTTTTTATTTATTTATTATTTTGACAACAAACTTAAACATAAAGTAATCAAGTACCTCAATAAACAAAAAAGTTAAATTTCATTAAATCTTTTAAATCATTATAAAAATTATAAATAAACTTTTTTCCGATTAATATTTATAATAATATTAATAATATTATTAATAATAACTGGAAAAAAATTACAATAATTTTAGAGTTTTAATAAAATTAAAAAAATAAAGAAATTAAAAAAAAAGTTTAAAACAGCTGCTTTTCACTCAATAGAATTGAAATCAAATTAAAACTCAATAAAACAATAATAAAAAGATATTTAATTTAGTTTTTACCGTTTAAGTTTAAACTATTCGGTTTACTAAAAGTCTATATTTGTTAACAACTAAAAAACAAACAAACACACCACCATTATTATATTTACAATATTTAAAGAATGATCTAATATTTCATAATTTTATTAAACAAAGTAGCAAAAAAAATTTAAAAACATTTTAATATATTAAAAACTAATTATATACTTGCCAATAAGTTTTTTTGCTAAGTTTCTACAATCACTTTTTTCATTCAGTGACTTACTTAATTATTTCCAGCAATAGTGTTTATACTATATTATCTGTATTAACACAATTGCTCAATTTAATGATCTAATTTGAAATAAACCTGGCAAGAAAAACTTTTTGTAATTCTATATGATGTAATTCTAAATTTAATTACAAACCAGTTTGATGGCTACCAAAAATGGTTTCTTATTAAAGACCTTATTTTAAAAGGTCTACTAAATCCTTTTAAAAAATGTTTAACCTAAATATATTTAAACTTACATTTTGTGGTGTCACAATAACAGCGGCAGGGCTGCCATATATCCCTATAAAAAAGAATCAAAAAACTTTTTCTTATATATATATATATATATATATATATATATATATATATATATATATATATATATATATATATATGTAAAAATATAATTAATTTACCATGACCAACTTCACTTTTTCCATATCTCATCGAGTCACCATGATACATATCATCATTAGGTTTTCTCTAATAAATGAAAATCATTGAACTAGTTTTGATCTGATAAATTAAGGTTTATGTTTTTCATAGTAAGGCAGTACGAAAAATGTGCAATGTACAAAAACAAGGAACTGCAAAAATTTAAAAGTTACTTTATACAAATAATTTAAAAATTTACTAGTGGTATACCAGATATAACTTTTTTTCAAATCTGATCTGATATCAAATATGCTGTATATAATAGATTATGTTATAATTAAATAAAAAACATATTTGTTTAGATAAAACTATAAATAGTTTTAAATAAGTAGAAAGAAGCTAATTTTTAGAAAGAAAGATTTATAGTTTTATGAATTTATTTATCATCGTTCATCAATAACTACAATATCTGACTTTTTTCTCTTGTTTTGCAAGTCCTGTGTTAGTTGTATTTTCTGCGAGTACATGTAAAACTAATGACATGTTGTAATTAGTTTTACTTTCACTATACTGTATACTTTCACTATACATTTCTTATACTTTCTTTACAATGAATTAAATACAAATCAGTTAACTAAAATTAAATCCAATAAGATGTGTTGTAAAGTATTTTTAGTAATAAACAGAGATATTTTAGAGATATTTTGTATTTTTATCTAAAAGATTAAAACATTTAAAATCAACTATGTAACCCCTAAGCAATTAGCTATCATATCAATATATACATTTTAACTTATAAGTTAATGCAAAAAAAATTTTACTCAAAAAAATAAGAAAATAAGTTCAACAAATAATAATTTGTTATGGCTAATGACAGATCAATGATGATCGATTACTGAAGCTGTAGAGAGGTAATTAAATGCTTTGAATTTTAAAGAATGTTAAAAACAACGCTTGTTTTTTCTTTTCATTTAATTGTGACATAGAGGATACTTACCCTAAAAGTTTAATTTAAGCTATTATTTAACTTTGAATAATCATTAAAAACACACAAGCTTAAAATAAACTGCCAGTCAGTTTTTAACTAATGCGAGCTCATATAATTTACTCACAGTATCTGGTCCATCTTCATTTAACAAGTCATCCTTAATATCATTAACAACGTCAACAGTTGAGGTATCACTACATTCGTCCTCTTCTTGGGTATACAGCTTTATTTCATCTTCAGCGCCATATTCTTCGGCTGTTGAAGTTGGTAGTTGGGGCATGATATTTTATATTAGGATTATTAAAAAAATCGTAAACTTGTTCTAATAACTTGCTGTATTTCATGTGTCAGTGCTAACAGCACAGCTCGGTTCAATGTTGTGAGCGGCAAAGTTCAAACCAATATAAGTTATGCTCTTTATTTTCAAAAGAAGCTTGTTTACTTCTGTGCGCTATTTGCCGACTTTATTTTGACTATTGTAAGCGGTGTATGTGATATCGTTATATCAAAGGATGCCGGTATAATAATGAATTATAAAAGATTCTCCAAGGAACCAATCACAGCGTTTTACAGGTGCCATTTCGATGATGTCATTAATTACATTTTTTTGTTATATCAGTTCAATGTTGGTCCTTAAATTATTTTGATTTTTTTATTTAAGGAAAAACTACTTACTATATGGAAGCAGAATTATTTATTATCAATAACACTCTACTACTTCGTTCTTATTTTCTTTCCTTTGTAAACGCGACGTATCAATTTTCATAAGCATTGTATTTTGTTAAATTTTTTCATTACAGCTTTTATTATTGGTATTACGTATTTTTTATAAACAGAGCAGCTTACAAAAGCAACACTTTTTAGTGAATTTTAAATTTGAATCAAATTAAAAACTTTAATTAGCGTTTTTAAATGAATAATAAACAAGATTTAAACAAACACTGCCTTTTTTATTATTGGAAAGCAGTTTATATGCGGCAACATTGAAGTTAGCAAATTATAGAAAAAATCGCTTACGCTGAGTCAAGAAAAAAAATTAAATGCGGTTGATGATAGATACAAAATTATTTTTAAAATTGACAGTTTAAATAGAATTATAGATCGTTTAAGTTTTTTATATTAGTAAATATAAAGTGCTAATTATTGCTAAAAATATTTAATAATGCAGACCAGTTTTTACCAGTTTTAAATTACTGACTGGAACAATCATTGGCGTCGCAACGTCAATTTTTTTACTCGATGGGGGAAATGACGTAAGCGAGACAAGGAACTCAAGTGCAAGACTTCAAACTATTTATTCATCTCTGTACACAAACTTAGATTAAAGTATTTAAGAAAATTTATCACAAAATTAATGATAATTGGGGGGAGGGGGAGAGCCTGCATTAAAAGTTTCAAGCTAAATTTTTCTATCCACGAAATGTAACATTTTTTATTTATACATTAAAAGTCTTTAGTTTATTTATAACATATTATTAGAATTTAAGCCGAAAGGTTTATACGTTAATACCAATTTAAGTTCACAAAGAGTATTTAGGTAGTAATTTAGTAGTAGTATTTAGGTAGTAAATTAGTAGGCTTCGACGAATTTTTGAAACTTTATAAGAGAGTATTTTATTTCGAGCAGTGCTTCAAAAAATAACTAACATTTTTTCATCGTTTTCAAATACTTTGTATTTTATTTTTGATTTTATACAATGGTTTAAAGAAAAACAAGCAATAAAAAATAATTAATTTACTATTACTAAATTACATAAACTCTAAAAAGAGTTATTTACAAAAGCATTGTAATTGGTTTTTCCAGATAACCACGGAATGTTTTCAACCAAGCGGCTCCAACTGCTCCGTCGACAACACGATGATCGCAGCTTAACGTTACACTCATCATTTTTGAAATTTTCATTCTGTAAAAAATAAAAAACATGTGTTTTGAAAGTAAAAAAATGTTTGCGTACACTTACCTCAAAATAAATATTACAGTCCAGGCAAATAATAAGACAACAATACTTTTCTTATAAAACAAAGAAATATTTGCTATTCAAAATGTGTTTAATTGTCTTCATTAATATTTCGCTTATCAAAATCAAGATTAAGCGGTAATGGCGAGACAAGATTTATGTTTTTTAAAAAGCACTTATAGGCTACAAAAACTCTGTACATCGATTGATTCATCAAAAACACTTTATTTCTTGACATTTCCTTGTTCAACAAAAACTATTTATCTTATGTGGTTTTTATAAAAGTTTTCGAGATATTAAGTAGGCGGAGATTCAGAGAAGTGGCTATTAAACATTAGACCTAAATCCGCCACTAATTTAATTTCGTCCTACCTCTCTTTGTAAAACTTTTAAATATCTCAAAGTTGCTTCCTATACAGACAATAAACAAAAGGTTTTGACAGCAACGTAGAACTTTGTAACCAATTAGACAGAGCAGTCACAGCGTAAATAATACTCAGCCTATTGCACTATTTTGTTGTTAATAAACATCGATATTTGATGGATTATTTGGATTTATTTGTGACAATACTTTGATAATGATTAAAAATAATAATAAAAAAAGGACATATTTTTGCAAAATTAAAAGAATATTTACCGAGTTTCACTGGTTTGATCTGGAACAACACGATCTTCCGATGCACTAACTGCTAGAATGCAACTCTGAAAATAGATTGTTTTTATTTTTAAAAAAATATACAAGATTATTTTCGAGTGTTATTTTTTCGAAAGTTTTTGTTTAAAAAATATAAATCTATAACTTAAACACAGCAAATCAAAAAACATAAATGATTTGCTTTTAATTAAAAAAAAAAATTAGTTTTTCGTAAATAGTTAAATTATAGTGTAAACGTTAGCTACCTGCGGAGGGTTGATGACAGCCGAGAAATTACTTATGCCATACATCCCTAAGTTTGACACAGTAAATGTTCCTCCCTAGGTATAAAAAACAAAAAAAAAGTGCTATGTAAATTAATACAACACTAAAAACGAAAGTAAAAATACAAAAACAACAATACACGGTCTATAAAATAGAATGCGTCACGAAACGGTACATTATGATGTAAAATATTAAACAACACTGCTATTACGAATAAACTTTTATGAAAGCGCTAAAGCATTCAAATATAAGTTTACAAATATATGTACAATGATAGAACTGAAAAATCATAAAGAAATATAATCTATAGACCATCAACAAAATAACTTAAGGTTATAACGGAAAGAACAAAAAGAGACTGCGTATTTATATTTAAAAGAGAATATAACTAGACCTAAATTTAAAAATATTGACCATTAATAAATTATGAAAATAAAAAATGCCCTATCAGAAGTGAAATAACGTTAACCACGACATAATACGGGTTGTTACATAGAGAAAGTTAATACAATTATACCAAAAATTCATGCGGCTGAATTGTTTTATCTCGAGCTTTGTTTGCCAATGCAACAACATCAGCACTGATAGCCGTTAAACCCTTTTTATCAGCATCTTTGACTATTGGCGTAATAAGACCACCGTCGATACTAACTGCAACACTCACATCCACATTTTCGAATCTGTAAAGTATACAGTTAATTATAGTACAGTATATTTATTGTAACAAGATATATTTATTATAAGAGTTTAGGCTTGAAGTCTAATAAAAAAAAAGAAGATAAAAATGGCAACATAGGAATACTTCGAATATTTACCAATAAAAACCATAAATTTATAAGCAATTTATTTAAATTTACTTTGTAAAAGTAGCAACTGAATGCAAAAAAATATTTTTTTAGTTAAAAAAAAAAAAAAAAATTATCGCAGTTTTTTTCAAAACTTTTTAGAAAACAATTAATGATAGTCAATTCTATTTAGAAACATGCTGTTTTGCATTGAACAAATTAAACCCGTTTAATCACGTAGTTTTAAAAATAGTATTTTTTTTTTCTTTTCTGAACTTTTTCTAACAGAACAAATAACTCTTTAGAAAAGTCAACACTGTATAAAACACAAAGCATAAAACAAAATGCGTATAAATTAAAAATAGACGTAATAAAAAAATTGTCTTTTAAATGCGCTTAGTCCGTCATTATTAAACTCTATTTATACTAAAAGTTTTATTTTACTGCTGCAGAAAATAATTTACTTGAGATTTAAAAAAAATAAATAATTATTTTAAACAAAATTTATAAAGGGTTTCTATTAGGTAAAGACGGATTTATATTAGGCAAGGACGGGTTTATATTAGGTAAAGACGGTGTTTTATAATTTAAAGACGGGTTTATATTAGGTAAAGACGGTATTTTTTAGTATCATTTCATTAAAAAAAAAAAAAAAAAAAAAAAAAAAAAAAAAAAAAAAAAAAATTAAATTCTCAGTCAATAGACATAGAAACAATCATTTAATACACTTTAAATGAGTAAAATTTGTATATGTATAAATGAGTAAAATTTGTACACTTTAAATAGTACATATAAAAACTTTCAAATTTAAAAACCAATTTCTATAGACAAAAATCTCTATAAAATTCATATTTATGACTCTGTTGTTAACTTATGGTGAAAAAAATCTTGAAAAATATTGTCATGAATTTTAAATAAAAAGTCAAAACTTTGCAATAAAAATTTATATTATTTTATAAACTTAGGTCAAAGCATTCGAATCACAATTTTATCAGTTGACTTGTTGCATGATGTTAATGATAAAATGTATTTTTGATTATATAAAGCTATTTTTTTAAAACAAGTAAGCGTGGCTCCTAATAATTACATTTATTACTTTCAATCAATAAAAATTTCATTGTGGTGTAGTTAGGGTGTAATTTTTTTCGTTTTCAGTTTTTGAATAAACTAAATTATAGAAGTTTATTGCCCATACATCATCAACTATACAGGACCAACATTCTGTAGGAATTAGGCAGAGCAAAAAAGTGATCCTCTTTCGTATGGTATTTATACTAGAAGGTAAATTTCCAAAAAAAAAAAAATAAAAAGGTTTTCAAGATATTTTTATGAAAATTTTTTTCACTTTAAAAATTGACAAACTTTTTGAGAATACTGACAAAATGGAGAAGAAAGTATTTTAATTTCCCCTCCTCATTGTTTATTGCTTAGCTTGGTTAACTAAAATGATAAAATTAAACATTTTGGCCTGCCATCATGCTTCAAAAGTACCCAAAAATTAATTTTAAGGTACTTTACTAGGTGAAGGTTTTAATTAAAAAATTTGAAAATAAGTTTGATACCATTAAGTCAATAAATCTTAAATATTTATCAAACTTTGAAGTCCGATATCTAAAAAACATATAAATATCTAAAGAACAAATAAATATTTTAGCATTAATCATCTAGATTTCTAATAACTATTATAAAATTAAAAAAGAAAATTATGGACTAGTTGCGACTTTAGATGAAAGTGAAGGTCGAAAATGACAAAAAATCAATATCTGCATACTGCATATATGCATAACTGCATTTTGAAGCATGATATTTAGACGGCTCTCAATCAGAAAGACAGCGGAATTTAAAATTGTCCATACCAAGTACCGGCGCTTCCACATCTGCATTCCTAATGTTGGTGCTAACGGTGTAGTAATAAAAGTACAGAATAAATCTGCATTCCAGCTTCCAGAATTTTTTAATTAAAAAAATTTTTTTTTTTCAAAACAAAATATTTAGACAAATGCTTACTTTACCTACTTTATCATTTTTAATTCTAAATTAACCAATAAAATAGTCAGGTTGTAAAAAAGCAGTTACCAAGCACTGCAAGTTTTGTCATCAAACTAATTTCTTATTCAAAATAAAAAATAATTCTTCATAATTAAAGTTTAATTCTAGTTGTTTGCAATTTTGAACTTTTTTTTAGACATCTTTTTTTATCTAACTCTGCAATCAAATCAATAAGTACTGAGCTATCTCTTTGTATTTGAATGTACTATCTTTATCGATTTAACAATTAATTGGGTTAAAATAATTTTCCATTATTTTTCTATATTTAAATCTTTTTAAAAATGAATCAAATTTAATTCAAATCCAAATACCCTACAGGAGTATATAGGATTTTTATAAAATATATAGAATTTTATGGAGGACCTAGGAAATGAAACATGATCTTTTAAAGTATTCTAATAAAATTAAAAGATTCCTACTGGATTTAGAGAATCCAGGATTGAGAGGATACTGGATTAGAGGATACTGGATTTAGAGAATTTAAAGATATTCTGCAATAATCTGAGTGTGAGTACTTCTCCAATCCTATATAAATTCACCTAATTTTTTCCATATCTCATTAAAAAATAAAACCAATGCTGGTTTCTTATAAATACTGGTAACCTTAAACATTTTCTGAAACTATTCTGAAACGGAAAACATTACTAATAAAAAGTTTGAAAGGTTTGAAACTCAAAACAGATTTTTCTTTTTTTACAAAAACTAAAAATACTTAAAAAGTCAGTATATAAAACTAATATATTTTACAAAAACAAAAATGTATATAGAAATTCATTGTAAAAACCTGTTTGTTATAAAAAATATTTAAATATTTAAATATATAATTAATTATAGTGTATTTCTTATCATTAATTATATAATTAATTATAGTGTATTTTCTAGACATCGCCAAAATATATGTGCGTATATACATTTCATTACTCTTTGTGTTTTTTTTTTCTTTTTCAAAAACAAGGTATGGAAAGAATTTGGCAAAAAAAAGTTAACAAATGTATATTATATATCAGCAAATATATAAAAAAAGTCAACTATACACTATAATATATATATATATATATATATATATATATATATATATATATATATATATATATATATATATATACAGGGTTGGAAAAAACCCAGGGTTTTTTAAAAAAACCCAACCCAAATGGGTTTTTTTGGGTTTTATGGGCTTTTTGGGTTTTTTTAAAAACCGATCAAAATACCAAATTTTTATAATTGTATGAGTACAATAATTTTTTTTTTAATTTCATAAATTCACCATCCTATTGCTCCAATGACCACTTCAGTCAAGGGAGCAACTCATTTTTTAAAAATATTTTGTCTCAAACCTTAACATTATCATTTTTACTAACAAACAACATTAACAACTAAAATTTTTAAACAAAGGTGCTGTGCGAAGAAATAGATTGAGCACAGTAATTTCAGCAGAGGTAATTTGAACCCCAACCTTCTGGTTGCAAGCCAAATGTTTTACTACTAGTCTACTAGCACATTTTACCTATAGTGCAAAAAGGGACTCCATCAACTATAAATGATGTTAATTAATTGCACTAAATTAAAAAGACGTTCAGAATATTTTTGACTAAAATAAAATCAGTATAAAAATTATTACGACAATTGAGTTACTCAAAGTTGGTAAGACAATATAAATGTTGCAAACTAGTTTTTTTTACTAACATGCTCAACATATCATTTCAAAAACTATTTTGCACAAGTTTACAACATGTAATCAACAAGTTTGCAACATGATGTTGCAACCTTATAAGTTATTATGAATCAAGTTGACTATGAACACTTTTTAAACATTTTTGTATCATAGAAGAAAACTGCTAGCCTAATCACTACATTTTTTTTTATCAGAACATTATACTGTCCAGCTTCCTGAAAAAGTTATCCACCTGATCAACTGGACTGGCAAAAAATGAATTTTGCTTAAACTTTAGTTGTTCTTAAAATATCTAAAATAAATTTGTTAAGAACCATTACAGTGTCTTTGCCACCACTTTTTTTTTCCTTGAAGATGTTTTACCGGCTCAGTTTTGCAATGCAAATTGCAAACTGAATCAAAGTAACACATTATACAGCTCTATTGTGTGTGTTTCTTCACTTTTTAGCAACTTGATACTGATGTTAATTTTCAACCCGCTGTTCATAGTCACCCTTGTTGGTGGTACATGTTGTAAACTTGTAGCTGATACAAAATATTCAAAACCTATCAAAAGACAGATGAGCACGAGTGTCATTTTTACCAACAAATCTTGTCTTTGTGAAATGCATACAAGTTTTCAACATGTTCTCTCATTGAATGAGCAAACATGTTGCAAACTTGCTTGCACATAACTTAATTTTTTTTAAGTTTTAAAGTTGTATGTACTTAAGGACAAATCTAGTAAACTGTAGCATTTTTTTTTTTGCCTGACAACTTTCCATTTCTAAACTGTAAATAAAGTTTAATAATTTTTATATATAGTATTTTGCTTGTGGCTTTCTACTGAAATTTGCAGTTAACAACATAAGCTTTAAAAAATAAAAAATCAAATACCAATATAAAAGAATACAGACATTCGAGAGGAGAATAAAGATACTAAATAACTAGTAATGTCTTGAAATTTAGTTAATAGAATGATTTTTATTTCCTTTATAAGTATTTAACTAATTTAATGTTTTAATACATATTTCAATAACATTTATAATAACTTGCTAAATGTTTAAAAATAATAATAAATAACCAACTTGCGACAAAAACAGATTGATCGGTTTTGGGTATATTCTAAATACCATTATGTATATAAATACAGTGTTTACAAGAGTAATTACAGTATAAAAGTTGCATTTGCTGATAATAAAGCATTTATAAGTGTTAAAATCAAAGTTATCGGTTGTAAAATAGGACATTTTTAAAAAAAACCCAAATATATTTTGGGTTTTTTTAAGGTGGGTTTTTTTGGGTTGGGTTTTTTTGCCAACCCTGATATATATGCATGTATGAAAGCACATTACCTTAATTAAATATTGATGCAGCACAATATAAATACAATACAGTAATGATAACAAATTGTCTAGTGATAATAAAGTCTAAAACAAGCCAGATTTCCAAATATAAGTACCTTGAAAAATTTCTCCTAGATTACAAAATTTTTTTAAACCTTTTGCAAAATGATAAACTCGCTATTTGAAAGAACCTGTTAAACCTGTTAAACTACTTGTTAAAAAAAAGTATAATTTATTTTCTCATTCTAGAAAACAATTCTAGAGTAGATTATGGAATATTTAGTCTATATCAATAATATTTTTTTGATGATTGTTCTTCTCATTAAAAAAAACTGTGAAAACTATCCTCCCCCCCTCATAAAGAAAAAAATTGAAACACAAAATTTCAAGAAAATATGTACTTTTTTGGTCTGTATGATGAGTCAGTCACTTAAAAATTACATTTTTTAAAAAGATGTTTTATTAATGTTTTCCGCCATAAAAATTACTATCATTTTGGTGAAATTTAAAATAAGGAGCGATGGAATAAACCACTAAACATGCTAACATGTGAGTAAATAACTATAAAACGAGCCAGACACTTGGGTTAAAATTTGAGAAACTAGATTCAGTCTTTAAATCCAAATTTAAATTTAAGTATTTCATGCAAAAACTTTAGCTGTCAGCCATCTTTTTCAAAAAACTTCAGATGTCACCCTTTTTTTAAAAAAAACTTATGAATGAAAAGGTGGTATCAGAGAATTCACAATGGATTATATTATTATGGATTTATTTTTTTAGCATTTACTAGCAGATGATTCAAGAGATAATTAAAGTGTTTAATTATAAACCATTAAGCTTCTCAGCATAATCTTCAGGTGAAAGAGATAAAAAAATAAATGCTAAGAGATGTGTTGTGAGTTGTTACTTTTTTTATGTTTTTCTGAGTTGTCATTAAAAATGTTCAATCAACTGCACATTCAAAAAAAAAACCCAAAAACGATTGATAAAAGTAGAACAGAATATAGAACTTAGTAAATAAACTTTAGTAACTAAAAGCAATTATATTTAACTCTCTGTTGCTGCTAACTAAAGTGCGAAAATCTGTGAAAGTCTTTTTATGTATGGATATCTTGAACTCATGATGATATCATATAGACACTTTTTATAAACAAATCCTAAATAACTAAAATTACTGAAAAAAACTTTAAGGGGTTTTTCATTTATTTTTATACTTTACTATATATAAACCAAATCTGTAACAATGACATTCAAAAAGTTAAAAAACTAAAAAAAATTCCTAACTAAACTAACTTGATTTATGAATCTTATATGGATGATAAATAGATTTTTTTTGTGAAACCACATCAAGTATATTTCGATAAAGTGAAACCACAACACATACATTTGATTGTGAGTGAACCAATTGTGCAGCAGTTCTAAATAAAGGATTCAAACCAATTTTCTTTAAACAAAAATGAAAGCTTAGAAAAAAATAGTTACAAATCAGAAACAAGTTAAAAGTATTCTGTAAATTTTTATTGATCCAATGTATGAAGAATGTCTGATAATATAAGATCATGTGAACCTTTGTTAGCATTAGAAGTGCTAAAAATAATCAAGTGCAACAATTTTGTCATTGTTATTTTGATAAATAGCTAGCAAAACAAAAATTGACAAAGCTGAAAATACTTTATTTCTATTTTAAAATGCATGGTAGTTACTTGAAAGAATTAAATAAGGAAGGTTTAATACTTTATGGTGATTGTGTTGGTGAGAGTTTTTTGTTACATTTAATTATGAAAGTAGATTTTAGTGCTATAGTTTGTTGAAAATCAGTATCTTTATCATGCTCTCCAACTAAATAAACATTCATAGTAGAATCTTACATAATATACCTACAAATAACTGTACAAAATCAGCCATCTCTGCATTTTAAGGAAGAACCTGCACAAATAGTATTAAGCTGCAACTTGAATTGCTAAATAATTTTATTTTTTTGATATCGAGCAGTAAATGATACAAAATAATTATTTTGTTATTTTTGTGCCAAAAAAAAAAGCATTTTTATTCATTCTCCAGTCCTTGTTATAAAGATGAAGTAAGTTAATTATTAAATGATAGGCTTCCTTACTAGCGCAAAAGTATTCAGGCATAACAATTCAAGTAACATTTATTACTAAGCACAATAGTTGTAAATTTTATTAAAAAAAAAAATCAGTCAGACATTTATTTGATGAGGTCAGGTGCGGCCTGGTAAAATATTTAGTTGCCACCACAATGTTAAACATTTACAAAAATTGGTAATAAGTTAATTTTTTATAAATTTAATTACATTTTTCAATAACTTAAACTTTTTTAAAATAATTTGATGGCCTAACTTTTTATGTTATAAGAATGTTTCAAAATAGTTAATATATATATATTAAAACTTTCATTTCAGACAACTATGTTTCAATTGTTGCAATGTTAAAATCATTTAAACTTTAAAAGGGAATAGTAAATTTGAAAAATGCACTCAACCTGTTTCTTCGCAAAACAACTTTGTTCATCAAATGTGGCATTTTTGAGCTTCAGGATTGAGAGAGGGTTGTAACAACAATAATAAGAATATAAAAATAAGTAGCCACATCATAAGTTACAATCATAGAAACCATCCTCAGCCATAGGAACCATCCTCAACCATAAGACAGTGAATACAATTTAAAAAAAATTATATTTAACTGATGTTTGGTTAATACACAATGCAACCTTTTAAACTTAATCAAATTAGCTTGCTGACCACTATTCCTGCTGACCAGTATTCTTAAACTTATTAATAGGTATAACCTAATAATAGTATCATAATTACACATATTGAACAAATATTACTAATGAATTATTATTAATAATTAAGAAATACTATTAATAATATGTAAAGAACTTTTTGAGTTTTTTTTTTTAATTTTTTACAAGACTTTATTACTAGTTATTATGACAACAAATCTTAGCTCAAGATTACTACATAATGTTAATACATTCTTAACACATAATTTTTATCACTACTACTGCTATATTCTTACTATATTATTACTATATACTATTCATATAACAACAGATTGTTGTTATTAAAACAATAATATGTTGTAATAACATAAAAAATTTAATTTTGCCAAAAAAAAAAAAAAAGTTATTTATTTTTATGTTTTGAATAAAAATGACATACTGACGAATGTACTCAGAAAACCATTGAGAGTTGCATTCTGGCACTTTGCGAAGAGATAATGCTGCAGCTTTAATTACAAAATCATTTATAGAAAGTTTAAAAGCTCCAAGGCTTTCAGCATTGAGTTGAGATCGCAACCTATTTGTAAAGAAAAAGTAGATTTGCAATTAGTTAACTAAATATACATTTTATAAAAAAAATATGAATAAAAAATTAAGTATAAATTCTTACTCAAAAACTTTATCCATGTTGATTTCAGAAGTTAAATAATAGTGAGGCACAGTTTGCTTTGACTCAGTTAACCGCTTGGCTATTGTTTTCCTCATATTTGATAAAGGTATGTCTTTAAACATTACACCTTCAGCCACTGGTGGCTGAACCAATGAGGGCTGGAATACAGATGGCGTGCTTTGCAATTCTGGGGATGGCTGTTTAGAAATTGGAGCAGCTGTAACTTTTTCAATTTTTGGAGCAATAAGAGGGGTTTTGAAATTTTCAATATCAGCTACAGTAATTCTTCCTCGAGGGCCTGATCCAACAACATTCTGTATATAAACAATTTCTCTATATTTAATATTTATAGATTAACAATAATATAAATTTAAAAATTTTTAAATTTAAAATTAAAAATATAATTGAATAGTGGTTGATACAACATTATTTTAAGATGACTTCTCACGCCACCTATGTGTCCTATATGTATAATGTAATAGCACTACATAAAAAAAAAATTAAATATTTTTAAGAGCACCACACAACCCTTAAACAGTTTGACTTGTCTTTAATTTTTACAAAAAATATTTTTTCAAAAAGAGCTGCAATAAAGTAAATAATTTTGTGCTGTTCAGGCCTCAGAATTAGGGTCAGCATTCGGCAATGTCGACCTTAAAGTGTTCAAGGTTGGAAAAAAATTGCTGATCTTGTTTTTATGTTTTATGGTTACCCTTTAGAGACAATTTTTTTTTTGCCAACCTGATGCTGATCTCTTACAGTTTGAGGTCGGCAATTTATTTCTGACCTCATTTATCCCGAGGGTTTGCTGTTAGAATAAAATTTATCCCCAGGGTTGACTGTTAGAATAGAATTCATCCCCAGGGTTGGCTGTTAGAATAGAACTCATCCCGAGGGTTAGCTGTTAGAATAGAATTTATCCCGAGGGTTGGCTGTTAGAATAGAATTTATCCCCAGGGTTGGCTGTTAGAATAGAATTTATCCCCAGGGTTGGCTGTTAGAATAGAATTTATCCCGAGGGTTGGCTGTTAGAATAGAATTTATCCTGAGGGTTGGCTGTTAGAATAGAATTTATCCTGAGGGTTGGCTGTTAGAATAGGTCTTCTTAATGGTGAAAGAGTAGTTAATTCTCTGTTTGTTCTAATTATATTAAAAAAATAACTAGAAAAATCAAAAGCAGCACAAATTTTGATTTGTTACATTTTCATTTTTTAGAAGAACTTATCTACACCCAGAAAAAACTGCAGAAGGTCTTCATGTTCAAGTTCATCTTCAAAAAATGTTCTCCATTAGGATCATAGTTTTCAATAAAATTTTTTAAATTCTATGCAAGTGTTGCAACATGCAAGTGTTGAGTCTTTTCTAGCATTATCTAAACTTTATTGAAAGCACAATAAACCTACAAACATTAGCATGATTCATAAATCAGTGTGTAATAGAGCCTTATTAAGCAATTGTAAAGCCTTGTTAGGCATTTTGATAAGCATAGTCATAAGAAAAATATAGTTTTTAAGGAAACAAACATATCAAGATTGTTTTTGTTTGTATTTCCCCACCCCATTCACCCCATTTTAAATTTTTTAACCAGATATTGTATTTTCAATGCAATTTCTTTTTCTTTAAATGCCTGTTTAAAATTGTGCAATATTTGATTGTTCAACTTCAAGAAAACACAACGGTGTCAGCATTTTTAAAGTTCCTACTCTAACTAATGATTTGAATAAGATTTAAAGTAATGACCTTTTTAACTTAATTATTAAATTAATTAACAATTAATTTTAATAACCACTTATAAGTAATACTTAGTTTAACACTGCTGCTGTTACCCATTCCTGCGCCTTTGACATTGAGTGTTTACCATACTTGATTTTTTAATAATTTTCTTTATATTTTTGATCTGCATCATCAAATTTTCTTGTAATTGACAATTTTTAATTGGATTTGTCCCACAAAACAAATGTCCTTATTGGTTGTATATATCGTCATCCATCAATGAATCAAAATGAATTCAATACAACATTTTTAACTCCACGTTAAGCAAAGAACAAAAATTGATCTTTTTAATGGGTGATTACAATGCAGATCTACTGAGCTATAGTGAATCTAATCCTACTTCCAACTACCTTGATACCTTATATTCTTACTCATTTAATCCTTCCATAATCTTACCTACCCATATAACAACTAAACATTTAATAGGGTTCTAGACCGCGCATTGGTCTAGAACCCTATTAAATGTTTTAAAAAAATAAATTATAAAACTTTGACTAAAAACCCCTATAAAACTTTGACTAAAAATCAAATCAAACTTAAATCAAACCCTGGATCTCTAAAGGCTTACTTAAATCTATCTCTGTAAAAAACAAACTCTATAAAAATTTGTAAGATGTAAAAACATTAATACTAAAAATGAGCTTTTCACAAAATTTAAATTCTATAGAAATATAATTAGCAACTTATTAAAAAGTAGTAAAAAATCATACTACATAACTTATTTTAATAACAACATAAACAACATAAAAAATACATGGAAAGGCATAAAAGATATCATAAATATTAAAGGATCATTACATAAAACACCTACTCAGTTAAATCTGAATGAAAATATTATCACAGACCATGCCACTGTTTCAAATATATCTAATGACTACTTTGTCTCTATTTGTGAAAAACTACTCAAAAATATTATGCCATCAGAATATACTTATAGTGACTTTCTTAATTTTCCTAATGCTAATTCTTTCTTTATTGATCCTGTTAGTGAAGATGAGGTATCTAGTCTTATTAGTAATACTCTTAAAAATGATAAAAAATAAGGACCTAACAGCATACCTACATTTTTTCTTAAACTTACCTTTCACATAATCTCCAAACCTCTTAGCATTATGATAAATAATTCTTTTAAAAATGGCGAATTCCCTGATGTTTTTAAAGTAGCTCAAGTCATTCCAATTTATAAAGCAGGCTCCTTACTAGACTTTTCTAACTATCAACCCATTTCCCTTCTTTCCAACCTAAGCAAACTTTTTGAGAAGGCTATGCATAACAGACTATACAAGTTTCTAGATAAATTTAAATGCTTGTACCAACATCAATATGGATTTCGAAGCAAACATTCTACAACCCTTGCACTTATTGAAATTACTGAGAAGATTAGAAGAGCTCTAGATAATAAACACTTTGCATGTGGGGTGTTTGTAGATTTGCAGAAAGCTTTTGATACTGTGGATCACTCCATCCTCACAAAGTTAGAATACTATGGAATCAGAGGCATCCCACTAAAATGGTCTACTTCATATCTCAAAAATAGAACACAGTTTGTTTCCATTAATAGCACTAAATCTGATTTACAGAATTGCTCAAATGGCGTCCCACAAGGTTCAGTTTTAGGACCACTTCTTTTTCTTCTTTTTATTAATGACTTGAATACTTCTTTTAAATTTGCAACTGCTTACCATTTTGCTGATGATACTAATGATACTAATGATACTAACATGCTACTGGTTAACAAATCATTTAAAAAAATCAACAAACATAATAATCATGATCTTGGAAATCTTGTTCAGTGGCTTTGTTCTAATAAACTTTCTCTTAATTCTAACAAAAGAGATTATCATCTTTAAATCCAATCTGGCACCAATTAATAAGCTATTAAATTTCAGACTAAGTGGACAAAAAATTTATCCTTTAGACTATATTAAATATCTTGGGATTAAAATTGATTCTAATCTTTCTTTTCAAGGCCATCTGAATGACTTAGCAATGAAACTCAGCAGATCTAATGGAATGCTAGCCAAAGTCCACCATTATGTAAATCTAGAAACTCTGCTAAATATATATTATGCTATTCTTGGGTCCCATCTAAGATATGCATGTCAAGTATGGGGACAATCCCATAAACAAATCATTTTAAGGTTGTCCCATCTCCAGAATAAAGCCTTGAAAATAATATATTTTCAGTATAATAACTCTAAATCTAATGTACTATACCTAATCTCCAAAATATTAAAAATAAGCGATCTTGTGGTATTCCTTAACTGCCTATTTGTATGGAATTATCATCACAAAAACCTTCCCCTATCATTCAACAATTTCTTTTCAATTACAAATTGTCACTACCCTCTTCGCTCCATCAGTAGCTTAAACTTAGTTATTCCGAAACACCAATCTGCTAAATATGGAAATAAATCTATTGAATATCAATGTATTAGCTCATAGAACAAACTACCTTCTGATCTAAAATCTCTTAATTCAATCTCTGAACTCAAAATCAAGGTTTTTAATTATCTGTTAAAAAAATACAATTAAATATTTCTACCAACTAATATTGACATTCTTTACTATATATGTCAATTCGTAATCCTTCAGTTTTTAATTTGATATTTTTAAAGGGATCCCTAAGTGCTATAAAGATATGATCTCATATGAAAAAGCATAAAAAAAAAAAATGTTTGATGTACATTATTTTTTCTAAAACGCAATAATTAACACACACTAACAAATTTAATTTTCAAAAAAACGCTTTTCTTCGATTAAAAAAAATGCGTCTTGTCCAAAGTTTATTGACTCTACTGCCTCAAAAAACTAACATTAGTACGTCAAATTAAACAAAGTAGACAAAATGTCATTATTGCAAACTTATTAGTTGGTAATTAAATTTAAAAGTAGAGTTGTTTTTTTTCAACTAACACATAATTACTTACAAGAATAAGTTTTGTAGCATTATGTGAAAATATATTTGTATATTAAAATTTTTTTTATAATATTAATTTATATATTTGTGTTATAAGGGCAATTCCACGGCTAAAAATGAATAGAAGTCAAATTTTAAACTCTTTTTAGTCAGTTAAAAACAAATGAATATTGACTTAGACATAAGAAAGTTTATTTAAAATATTTCCTTAGTAAAAAAATAAATTTATTTCAGTAATTTTTATGGTTTCAAAAGTGACGGTTACTCTCATTTTTGCTTGATACAAAAAATAATGATTGTTAAATGTTTTAGTTGAATTAACATTTATGTTAAATTGCTATATTTTTTTGGTTCAAATTGATAAGGTTGAATAGACATTTTATTAGAAATTAATCTAAGACAAGGCTCGAATTAATGCAAAAAAATCTAATCGCGAAAAAAAAAAAATTTTTTTTGCTCTCTCCCCCTCTCTCTTATAGCTCGCGCCGATGTGCGATAATGGGGGGAAAAAGTTATCGTCAATAAATCAAATAACATCGTCAAAAACTTAGATACCACGTTTTTTATAATTTATTGTTTCTTGAATAAAGGACTAATAAAAGTTTAAATATAATTAAGTTT